CCCCGCCCCCCCCCATATTCCTCCTGGCACAGGTTTCTTTTACAGAGTATTCTATGGGTTACTGCACTAAACTCTTTTCTTTCCTCTACTGAATAAGCCCTATCATTTAACAGGATGTCGAATGTAACTTGTGATTATATAATAAAGGCTGTAGATGTGCAGATTACACTTACGATTTTCCTGTTTGTTTTTTTCCCTTCCCCTCTCCTTTAACCCTAATAGCTGATAACAGGACGAAAAAGAGAATAACACACCGAGAGAGGAAGCAAGATTTCTCCGCTTTTAAGCAAACCGATAACGAAATGAAGGTTAAAATATCACCACAGCTTCTCTTGGCTATGCACCGTTTCTTAGCAACAGGCAAGTTTAGCTTATCACAGTTTGAGATCACCAACAATCTCGGCGCTGGTTCCTGACTGGAAGGAGGGTAGTGAAGGATGGAGTTGTTCCCAATGTCCCCTCTGTTCCTGTGGGCATCTGTGACATTCTTTTCTAAAACAAATGCAACACGAGAGCCAAGGTCAACACCTGCTCTGTAGTAAACTTTTATCGCTGCATTACAATGTGGATGCATCAAAAAAGCACGTGAGATGGCTTTTTATGAATGAAAAAGGGAATATATTTAAGTGGAAACCCTTTCATTTTCTTTTACTTTCCAAGAAGCATTTTCATGTGAAGTTCATATGTGATTGTATGACTTGAAAGGAAAGTTAGCCAATGTGAAAATATAATCTATATATTTGTAATACTTTATACAATATATAAATAAGTATGTATCAGTAAAATTAGTAAAAGGATGAGTTCACCAATACCTGTTTGTTATTGGTGCATGCTAAGCACCTAAGTGTTCCATTTCCTTGTCATGTCATTAGGATTCTAGCGGTGAGTTCTACTCACTGTATACTGGATTTCCCAGCTCTTTCCATGTATTGCAGCTTATATGAGGGGTCCCAGTTTGTCTTGGATAATGAATGACCCAGGAAATACGAACTACTTCCTTGATTGATGAATGACCAGGGTGCTGGGAAGAGCTAGCTATTCTGGGGAGGTGATCTTCAGTCCTGGCTGATGTGTTTTTAAAGATGCAAGTTCTTAATCTGTCATCTTTATTCTTTCTTAACCGCTTAGTAAGTCAATGATGACAAACAAGCATGCAGCTCAGGTGTACTGCCACATATCTGCCTACATGTTCCTCCTGGGTCACTGACTTAGTAAGTAGTGAAGGTCAATCGACCAGTATGACGGACATAAAGCGTGCACCTTAAAAATCAAATTAGCATTGGAATCTCTCATATTGCTGCCCTGACAATTTGTCTTTAAAGCAGTTTTAAATGTAACTTTGGTATCCAGTTATTTCTTGCAGAGCCCACCTATAGGTTAGTTTTGGAATCATCTGCCGCTGCTGCAATTCCACCAGTGAAATGGTAGAATGTAGAAGATATCTTATGGGAAGAATTATTTCAATCGTTCAGTCGTGTAAAAAAAAAATCTCTGTTAACATAGTTCATCTACACATGATTGGATAATTGAAGTGAACCTTGACATATTTTATTGTGTGAACATTCTGAATTCCTTAAGTAAATCGGCTTCAGTGTTTGTCAGTACAGTTCTGTTGGTACCATACATAATAGAGCTGCTTTAGAAAACCGGAGCACTGACCGTAGAAGCCAAAGTCCAGCCATCATTGTCCTAATTCAGATGGGAAAGTGAACTCAGAGAATCATTGTGGCTATTGGCCCTTTGTTTCATTTTTACAAATCATCTCAGCTGTCTTATACTGCTCTGGTGCGATAAATGGGTTCCTGCAATCACAAATCTGCCGCAGGTAATGTTCATAAGCTCTCAATAATATGTGTGTAATTAGATGTGCTGTGTTTTCTTGGCAGAAGTGGATGCCTTTAGCCCATGTCAGATGTCTGAGAAGATTCTTCTGAGGCTGCTTAAACATCCCAATGTCATCCAGGAACTTAAATTTGATGATAGGAACAAGAAGTCTCCTGAATACTACCTCTACCAGCGCAATAAGCCGGTGGATTACTTTGTGCTTGTTTTACAGGTCAGGCTGGATGCGCGGCACCTCACGTGTTTTAACATTTTTGACATACATTGGATGCTTCACAGAATTGAATGTCTGTATGTATGTAAACTGTATTTATAGAGATACTCACAGGCCTTGCAGCAGAGAGAAGTCAAACCATCAGCATTTTATTGTCAACATTTTGACGGAGGTCAGTCCATCTTTATCAAGGCAAAAAGATATAGATTGACTAAGCTCAGTTGAAGCTAGACAATAAAATGCTGATGGTTTGACTTATCTCCACTCCAAGACCTGTGAGTGTCTCTATATCTTTTTTGTATATATATTTATATGTATATGTGTTTTTTTTCTTCGATAAGCACCCGGGCATTTACCTTTACATGCATACACACACGATCTATAACCCCATCTCCTGTTCACCAGTTTTCCTTCCTTGGACCACATTTGGAAGATTCTAAACACTGCAGACCAAAACCTCCCACAAGAGGTGCAGTTTTGGAGTTGCTCTGTCCCAGTGGTCTAGCCATCACAATTTGGCCCTTCTCAAAGTCACTCCAACCCTTATACTTGATAATTCTTTCTGCTTCCAACACATTAGCTTCAGAGACAAACAGGGTTATTCACAGAAGGGTGAAGAGTTTGGAGAAAGCAGGAGAAGTGAACAATCTTGGACAACATAGCTGAACCGGAAAGTGAGCTTAATTGGACAATTTTTCCTAATCAGCGATTTTGTCCTAGATTGTTCACTTCTCCTGCCTTCTCCAAACTCTTCACCCTTTAGTGAATGACCCTGAAAATGTTTACTTGCTGCCTAATATATCTCACCCACTTCCAGGTGCCCCTGTAACGAGATAATCAATGTTATTCATTGAATCTCGAAGTGGTCATGTTATGGCTGATCGGAGTGTGTGTATATGTATGTTTATATAGTATATGTATAATATATATATATATATTGAACTCGATATACTTTTTATTGATTTGTATATAAAACATTTACAATCTTATTAACTATTAAACAAGTGCAGATATGTGTTTTAAAGGTGAACTTTGTACACAGGGCTGCATTAGGTTAGTTGATTAATTTTGAAGTAATATTACATTGTGAATGCTGGCTTGCTGATATTTGCACTAGAGTAGGGAGCATAGCACAGAGGTATGACTACTATGTACAATTTAAAATATATTACCTTTTGACTTTGTCTTAAGTAGGTAAATAGTGCATACAATTCTGGCACACATTAGTTATCAAGTATTTATCAAAGACCCCTAATTTTGACAAGTTTGTTTGGAATTCTGCAGTGAGAGTAGATGTAATTGCTGCTATTTCAACATGTTTAATTGTAACATTTGCTGAGGATTTCAAGATATTTTCTTTAAATCTAAATCTAACCTTTGGACAAGAGTTTATCACTTGTTAGATATAGACTCCACCAATGTGTATATGGCCTTGTACTGCCCATTCTTAGTCTTCAGTTAACCAAATAGAGCAGACCTACACAAAGCAGAATGCATTTCTCCTCATATTGACATGGCAGGGTTCAGTGGTTCAGTAATAGTGCTGAAAGCAGTTTTTGGTGTTCAGTACCAGTTTGAAATTTTAGGCTACCAAGTATTGGAAATTTGTATGATTGCAGCATCTGACATTTTAAAATAATGTTTTAAAGCTGAACTCCAGTTAAAGGCTAAATACACATTTGGAATATATACATGCAAACTGTCTTACTAGTATTAATTCAGTTCAGTTAGTCTTGTGATCGAGGCACCTCTGCCAGACAGTTTAGGCGCGCCATGGCCCTCTCTGCAGACAAGTGATACAGCATCTTCCAGAACCGGCCTCAGCCTGTCTTTACACAACAAAGGAACAACACGCTCATTGATGAGGTTATAGCAATTCTCTCCCCTGCCATAAGCATTTCCCCTGTAAGCAGTATAGCTGTGATTAATTGAGAATTCCCTGTCTAGAGTGCTGTGGTGCAGGGGATTATATGAGGCAGACATATTAAAGTGGACCTGTGTTTTATCCATGCAGGGTCAAGCAACAGGTTCACTTAAACCCAGACCCTGTGTGATGCCTACAACTTGCTTTACAACTTGCCTCTCCCCAACACTGTTTTCCAGCAGCATCAAAGTCAATCTAGTCAGAGCTTGGACAGGCCTTCTTCATAAACCCATATGCAGAGGTGTATCTACAGAAAATAGCCCCTATGGCAAGCACTGACATTTGTGCACATTTTCAAAAATGGACACCTATATTTTAGATGCATTTACTATAATATCCACTCAAAAATGCAAGTCAAACTCGCCTCAGAGTCCCTCCTTACCTCAGTCTCCAACCCCCCTCTTGCAGTGGAATCCCTAGAGTTATCCCTTACATCAGAGTCCCAAGGGCTTCCGCTTACATCAAAGTCCCTCCTCATATAAGAGTTCTCCTTTACATTAGAGTTCCCAGAGTTCTGCCTTACATCAGATTCCCCAGAATTTGCCTTTACATCAGATTTCCCCCCTGACATCAGGGTTTCCTCTCACATCAGACTTCCCAGAGCTCCCCCCTTACATTAGCGCTTTCCCTCACATCAGATTCCCCATAATTCCCTTTTACATCAGCGCCTCCCGACATCAGGGTTCCCCCGTGCATCAAAGTCCTTCTTTACATCAAAGTTCCCCGTTACATCAGAGTCCCCCCTTATATTAGCATCTCCAGAGACCCCCTTTACAGGAGTCCTGGGAAGTCGGATGTAATGGGACTCTGATGTAAGAGGAGACTCTGCTATAAGAGGGAATTCTGGGGACTGCGATGTAAAGGAGAATTGTGGGGACTGTGATGTAAGGGGGAAATCTGGGCATGCTGATATAAGGAGGAACTTGGGGGACTGTGATGTAAGGGGGGGGCCTCGGAGTTTGCAGGATCCACCTTACATCAGGGGCCCTTCCCTCTTTATATCAGTGACCCCCATTACTTTACAAACCCTGATGTAAGGGGAAACTCTGGGGACTCGGACCCCCTTGCATCAAAATCCCCAGAGTTCCCCCTCACATCAGAGTCCCCACTTATGTCAGCGTCCCCAGAGAACGCCTTTACATCTAAAGTCCAGGGGTACTCTGATCTCTGGGACTTGTGGTCCTCTGGTCCCAAACAAATAAGGGGGAACTCCAGATTATGAAATAAGGGGGAACCTCAGACTATGAAATAAGGGGGAACCCTCGGGACTCTGATGTAAGAGGGGATGCTGAGGACTCGGCGCTCAGTCCCCCATCACATTAGACTCCACAGAGGTTCCCCTCATTTCATAGTCTGGAGTTCCCCCTTATTTCATAATGTGGAGTTCCTCCTTATTTGTTTGGGACCAGAGGACCACAAGTCCCAGTATGCCTGTAAGGTCACCAGGGACTACAAGTCAAGCATGTATGTGTGGTCACTCGGGGTCTGCATGTCCTAGTATACTTCTGGTCTCTGGAGGAACACATGTCCCAGCATGCCAGTGAGGTCACCAAGGAGGAATACTAGACTAGTGTAGAAGGAATTCGGGAATAACCTTTTCTTTTATCTTTATTACAACCTGCTGTGTACATTTTTACTTTCATTTGCAGTCCAAGTATTTCATATACATTTTGATTATTAATAAGTTAGCTTGTGCAGCTCTTCCTTGTGTCGGCTGACTGGCTGTGCTCTCTGTGCACCTCTGCCTCCGTCTTTTCTCCTCCACGCCTGCAGGAATTGTGACAGGCAGCGGGGTTGCTCTGTAGAGGATGCAGTGCACAGGGCACATGCTGGGGATCTGCTGCTACAGGACATCGGGCTGGCCGCCCTCCCTTAAATATAGTGAAAGGCTGGGGGGAGAGCGCACACTCCTCACTCCATACAAGTGATAGGGAAGCTCTAAAGCTACCCGAACCCTTGTATGTGACCGGCATCGCCGGCTGTAAAAACAAAATGGCTGCAGCAGTCTTGATCTTGGTACAACCACTTCAGGACAGTGCTGTTTATAAGCGTACCGTGGTCCTGAAGCAGTTAGACAAAAAACACAGACCTAGAATAAAAAAATGACTTTCAATGCGTTTTCACACTTCCATAATTGAGGCCATTGGTGTGTTAGATGGTGGGTACCTGAGAAAAATGTCTTAACAACCCATCGTTTTTAAACCTTCACTGGAAACTAGTACCTGGAGAATAAAACGTTGAATCTGATTGCTTGCTTTCAGTATATTCTGTGCTTTTGTGGGTGTTTCTACTTAAATTGCCCTGATGAAGAGACTTATTCCTGTTCTTCCGCAGGGGAAAGTAGAAGTGGAAGCGGGGAAGGAAGGGATGAAATTTGAAGCCGGTGCCTTTTCCTACTATGGCGTGATGTCACTCACTGCATCTCCAGGTAGCACTGTGTTTTTACAACTGTTTCTGCTGCTGATATAAATTTACAAATTGTCATATAAAGTCATTGCGCAGCTGTAAGCCTCTGTGTGGGTACATGTTCTATGTTGTGCATGTGTAACAAAGATGGCATCAGTCGTCAGTATGCAAGTCCATTTATTCAAGAATGAGATGCATGCTATCTATGGGGGAAGTTTAAAATGGAACCACAAGCATTAAAGAATTATTGCTGCAGAATTCACTAATCATACAGAAAGTGCAAGCCTACTTGGTTTTCTACCCTAAGGCCCAAACACTGTAACTTTGTGTATCCCCAATGGTGTCAGAGACCAGCACCATCTTGGCAACTCTCTTTTCTTATTAGTCAAGTGACCAGGAGCCCAAGAACACAATTTTTATGGGCCATAATTTGGAGGAGGGGCTGCTTATGTCATCCTTTCATTGTCAATTCCCTTCACCTGCAGATTGCTATTACTGAGAATGCCGGGTGCTGGCCATGTGCAGCGCATGGTTTTGTGTTGTGTGTGTGAAAATTACATTGTAGTGTTATTGGAAAAGCATTACAACGCACAGGCAGTGAAAACTAGTGACTTTTGATATTAAAGTATTAGAGAATACGCATTTTCTTAGTTACGCTTTATTTTTTGTATTCCATTCTACGAAGTTTTTTCACATACGTGTAATTCGAAAGAGAACAAAAACTGGTCTGTAATATGGAAAAAAAAGACCTTGTACCATTTTCAGCAAAGGTTGTAGTGACATCTTGTGGTACAAAAGTGTTTTGACACCGTGGTTCCCTTCCCTCACTGTCCATAGATTTGTCAAGCTTTGTGTCTTCAGTGGCGTGGGCTCATTTTTATTAAATTGTTTGATATATATTAATATAAATGGGTCCAATCTATGAAAACAGGAAAGAAAGCAGGGAAACGTGTTCCACATGAAGAGACCCTTAAGAGATTAGATGGCAGCAATCTGCCTAATGGGCTTTCAATGCCTGTTTATTTTTAATACTGGTTCTTGTTCATTCTTAACGGAGTTGCTTAATCTCACTGTTCCACCTAAGGGGTTAATATTCTAATCCTTAATTCTGAATTGTATTTTTTAATTCTGTTTTTGTTAGCGATCCTCTTCTCTCACCAGATCGGAGGCAGGAAAAACTTGTGTGTGACCATAATCTATGGGGGATTGAAATTGTGTTACTCAATTTAGCTGTATGGGGAAATTCTAGATGAGGTATTCTGTGGCACATGGGCACCACCGGTGTATGCCATTCCTATAAACTGTTGCTTAATCCCGCCTTAGTTTTCATAATAAAATCCTAAATAGAATTTTATGAAGTGTGTCGTGTTCTAATTTAGCTTTTATTTTCTTCATTCCTCCAAAAATATTCCACTTTTTACTCTATTGACCTCTGTGTGTAATCCTGGAAGTTTCTAACTTCTGTCACAAGTTTTATCATTTTACTTTTTCCCAGCGTAATATCCAAATTTCTTGTTTCTTTGCACATACTGTATGTAGAAATTCAGCTGTATTTTAATAGACAAGGCCAACTTTTATGCATACTGTATTATCAATCACTCTTTTTTTTTTATCCTGATGTGTTTTATGTTTTCGTTGCTTGTGTCGGTGAAATCAATTTTCCATCGTGCTCCATGTATCTGTAAAAAATAAATCAAGGCAATTGTACTTGCTGTATTTTTTTGCCTTGTTTTTGTTTTGCCAAGTCCAGTTGCCTTGACTTATTTTTCCCCGATATACCATGACCTGGGTGATTGAGAACCTTCACAGACATCTTATCTTGCTCCATGGTTGATGGTGAAGATTTTAAATTCGTTTTTTCCCTTCATAAGCATTTTAAAATATGTCAAGTCTTCTGTGCCTCAATTAAACATCTATTAGCTTATTTTTGAGTGCAAAGCACAGTAGCTTAACATGCATAGTTTTACTGATGTGAGAGCTGAGTGGTTACTATAAGTTGCTGCACAATGCACGGTTTTATTTAAACTTGCTAGTGTCATTTTTTAATGACGCCAAATGCAATCTACACCTATTGTAACATTTACTGAGGGGACTTTATCAAAACCTGGAGCAGACGAAATCTGGAGCAGTTGCTCAGGGGAACCAATCAACTTCTCTCTTCGGTTTGGTCAGTAAAGATTTGGAAATGAAAGAGAGAAGCGAATTGGATGCCATGCAAAGCTGCTCCGGTTTTGATAAATTCCCCTCACTGTGTTTTCCCCAAATTGTCTATCATAGCCCCATTGCTATAAACACCATTATGCATTGTCGCATTGCATTTTACTTTGCTATGCCAAACCATTTTCACCTGTTCAGCTGTGAATTTCATCTGTGAAATGCCCTGTTAGATTTAAACCACTTCTGCATACGTATGTGCAAACTAAACAAAGCCATGTTTATAATGAGATGATGTATATGCATGAAGAGATTGTGTTTGCACTGTAATTTAAGAAGTCACTTTACGCCTCTGCAAGGAGACTACTACAACAGATATTTAACAGTTTGTGTTGCTTTGTTGAATTTTCTTTAAACAGACATGTATCCTCTAGACTGAAATGGGAACACTAAACAATGTTTTAGGATGGGTTTCTGATCTGATCTGATTAATGTATTATTATATCGCTCTTCTCCTTGCCTGTTTTTGTCTAAATACCCATCTATAATGTTATGCCAGAGCCTTCTGATTCAGGCCATATGCTATCTTTGAACCAACAAAAGTCTGAGAAATATTTGGCAGCCAGATAGAGGGAAGAAGGTGGGTTGCGTGGTGTGGGGTATATGGAGGGCTATTTATGAAAACATGGGAATGGAGATGAGTTTTACAATCTTATCAGCCTTAGCCTACATCAATCAACGCTAACACATTAATTAAAGTTCTCTAAGAGCGTGCTACCCTTCTACTTTGGCTTCTCTGTCATGTTTGGCTGTTCTTCCAGTTGAGAGGACACTGTTGTACAGTGTTTCCGGTTGTTCTCCTTTCACGGTTTCTCATCTCTTCTTTCCTTGGTTACAGTTCCTCTCTCCCTGTCTCGTACCTTTGTTGTCAGCAGAACAGAATCGCTAGCTGGTTCTCCAGGTAAATCATGCATGTTTCTATTCAATCATTCATTTACCAGTCTGTGATTTCTCTTTTCCAATTTCAAGCCTTATTACTGGACTTTACCAAAATCTTTGTATTTAAAAATGGGTTTCAGAATGGGCCTTACAGGAGAATCCTGGTGGCCTGTTGTCTTTTGTTAAATCTGATTTATAACCGACTGTTAAACATGTTAAAGTGTATGTCAAGCCAAAATGTAAAAAAAAAAACATTTGCTTCTCAACCAGGAAGTCTTGTACTGTTGGTTTATACTGCCCTCCACAGTTGGATTGGACACTGGCAAACAAAAACTAGTCCACGTGAGCATGGGAGCTACCGCAGAGGAGAGTTTCTGAGCTGGCAGCCTTATGATGTTTTTCTGGTCTTACACAAGAATATGGTGGTCTTGAGGGACAGCAATCCTTCCTACCTAAAGTAGTTTTGATCTTTCACCTCAGCCAGGACTGTATTCTTCTTTCTCTATGTCCAGCTGCAGTTCATAATTGCCTGGATGTAGTTCAGGCACTTTGGCATCAGGCTACTGTTTGCACTCTCCGATTTGCACGGCTGCTTACCAGGTGGATGTTCAGGCCTCATCTGCTGCCACCTGGGGCACTAGGTCCTTCAGGTGGCTCTTTGAGTTGCAAGCAGTCTCCAGTTTTGTTGTGGGTCTGTTAGTGTTTTGTATGCTGTTGCTCACCCCTTATTTGTACTGCTTTTGTGTGCCCCAACAGTACAAGACTTTCTGTCTCAATGGATGAGAAAGAAGATAGGATTATTGTTCTCGCCTTTTTAAGAGCTTCAAATCCTTTCGGAGACCAAAATTTTATATTTCTGCTACTATAACCTGAGGAACCCTGCCTAGTGTTCTTACATCATTATAACGAAAATCAGGTTATCAGAGATTACAGTCTAATTGATTTTCCATGATTTTTAGTCTGTAGAATATAATCTAAAAAGTAGACAACATATTTGCCCTACAACATTGCTACATTATGCTAAACTGGCAGTGGTGGCAGCTAAGCAGAAAGATAGTTGGGACTGTGAACCCATGAACACCTTGAAGAAAGTGGTTACTGGGCACACCCCTTAGATGCTCAAATTAATTAAGATCTGGAGAATTTAGAAGCCAGGTCAACACCTCGAACTCCTGTTCCTTAAACCATTCTTGAAATATTTTTGCAGGGTGCATTCTCCTGCTGAAAAAGGCCACTGCCATCAGGGAATACTGTTTCCATGAAGGGGTGTACTTGGTCAGCAACAATGTTTAGGTATGTGGTACGTCTCAACGTAATATCCACATAAATGGCGGGACCTGGAATGGTAGGTCCTGACCACCGCAGAACTGCAGTTTTGGAGTTGCTCTGACTTAGTCATCTAGCCATCACAATTTGGACCTTGTCAAAGTTGCTCAAATCCATATGCTTGCCAATTTTTTTTTCTGCTTCCAACACATCAACATCAGGGACAAAATGTTCACTTGCTGCCTAATATATCCCACTCACTTCCACGTTCCATTGTAACAAGATAATAATATTTTTTGTTAGTTTAATCCACCGTTCTGGGTTCATATTTTTTTGCTATTGTCACTCTAAAATGGGTGATGAGCAGCTGGGCCCTTCATGCGCACATGACTCTTAGCCCTTCAATGCATCACAAGCAGTCATTCGGTAGGTATGATATACACTGAGTCTCCAGATTATAATGACCACCCCATCAGTACTTCGTTGGGCCACGAGATGACTCCACGAGATGTTGAAAGGTGAAGCGAGGAATCTGACACTGCACTGTTGCCCTTCTGTTGTCTTGTACCAGTCTTGCCACTCTCTGTTCTGCCCTAACATTGACTAGTCGCTGACGGCCACAATTCGCACGTTCAGACCCAGATTTTCGGCTGACAGTCCAGTCTTTAAACATTTTAACAACAGCTGCTCTTGAACATTTAACGAATTCTGCTGTTTTGCTGATACTCGCTCCATGCCTCCGAGCGCCAACAATCATCCCACGTTCAAAGGCTGGTAAATCGCGGTGTTTTCCCATATCTTCAGAAAAAAAATCACTTCTACTGTCATGGTAAACAACCTGCTTCCCTATTTATAATGGTCTGGCCCTCTAGAAACTTCAGCGCCAAATTATAGCTAAATTGCCTACAAACATCAGGTGGTCATAATAATCTGGCCACTCAGTGTATATTGTATAATTTCATCCAATATTGTCTACATGCAATCCCTGTCACTGCTCATTCTTAATCACTGACAACAATTTCACCCATTTCTTATTGTCCACATCGTGATCTTCATCACTGAGGTGTATGACTGCTTCTCATGAAGGCCAATAAACCCGTAACATTTACAGTGATAAATCAGCAAGTACTATACATTAAACAGATTGTATGGATGGCGCAGACTAGTTTTCAGTGAGTAAGAGATGTTTCGTAGCTTAGCACAACCTTCTGCGATTATTCCTCAAAACCGAGGAGGTCATTTGGTCACCCTACTTTGAGGAAATTCACTCAGGCCCACCAGATGCTCAGTACCGGTCTGTCTAAAAACTCCTTTTGTGTTATATGCCTTTTATAAAGGCAAACCAATCATATTTATTTATAGCCCACCTTCACAAGAATAACTAGCTCTTTGTAGTTTGTGGTTGGGCTTCCCCGGTTTCTTTGCTGTGACCTAATTTTCTGGATTATCTGGTTGATCTAACATTCATGACACAAATACGTGTGATACATTTTGCATTTGAAATCGCTTTGAACCACAGAAAGCTGTAGGAAAGGCTCACAAAGTGTTATAATGGTGATCGCGCGCTGGTATGTGTTTTTTGGAAACACGCTCTGTCAACTTTGCTTGTATGTTCACTTTGGGTATCTTTAGGCTCCATTCACACTTGTGCGCATGTGAACGTGTACAAAAGCACGTGTCGCATTTACGGTACCATTTATTCTATGTGCTTTTTTTTGGCTTAATACCCTACAGGGAGAATTGAGCCTGTTAGTTTAAAGAGCGAAATGTCGGAGGGGGAAGAAATGAGTACATGTGTATTTCAAGAACTCAAGTTAAACGCCTATTTTGTGCTTTTTATGATATTTATATTTTAGCCTCATAAGGGAGAAAATTATTTAGAAAACCTAATGCTACAACTCCTACTTTATAAAGGCCAAGAATCTGATATGCAGAGGAATCTATCATGTGACCTATTGAACACCAAATTGCAACATGAATCACAAAAACTTTGGTTCCTGCCCTCCCTCATCAAGTCAATCTGTTTTAAAACAGGAAGCCTAGCTTTTAATAAAATTAATGCTTCCCCATTCACATTTTGTGAGGAATACCTATGCTTTGGAAAGTGCACACCATACATAGTATAGCAATTCACCATAACAGGGAGCGTTTGCCAGCCATGTGCTTAAACTTCAGTAAGCCCACGTGGCACAATTACTTCACGTGGCACATAATTTTACAGAGTAAAGTAGAAGTCAGGCGTAGTCAGACTTCAGCTCCAGCTGTGGTCAAGCTATAAAACCCTTTGTGTATCTTCCTCTGGAGTCATGGCTCTGGCTGTCAGTCTTGTAATGCCTTATGGGATTTGTAGTTTCACCACAGCTGAAGGGCCAAAGTTTGGTTACCGCTAGTATAAGTGGTCTAGTATTTACTGCCTTTGTACTACAACAGAACATATTGAGGCCGAGCAGTTTACATGAGCTTCCATAGTTTCCTTGATAGTCCCAGACAAAACCACTCTTATGGGACCTGACAGATTTTCCAAATTACCAGTGAGAGTCTGTACTGAGCAATTACAAGCACATTATCTAATATTACCTGCAAAGATCTTATTGGTTACCCTATTGATTCCTTTGTTATGCCATTTTGGTTCCTTTATTGGGAGCCTTCAGCTGTGCACTCCAGGTTCAGTGTCATTAATCCAGCTCAAGGCATTTTGTCAATTTTCCAAGTCTTTATTTTTTCTGACATGCAGTAATCTCTATTTAATTAAAGAAAAATCCTGGGTAAGTTTATTTCAGTTTGTATGATTCATAAAAGTGTGAACAAAAATACACTGTCAGTCCTTTTTTTTAATTTTTTTTTTACAGTTTTTAAACTAAAAACATATGTTCCACATCCCACCCCTTCTGGATGTGTTTTTCTAATTGAGAAATGTATATACTCCGATCCAGGCTCTTTATAACACAGGTTTTATTGCATTCTCTGAAAAGCTATAATGATAGGTAGAAGAAAAAGTGTATAGTCAAACAAAATAGAGGGCAATTGTCATCACCAAGGCCTAGCAGTCCTAGCAGTACACTAGCAGTCCTGGTAATTTGCCAGCCACAGGATCACTGGCAAGGGCAAAGAAACCACTCGCCTGTTTCCATTACGTCACTCCCTGCTGGCCAGAACACTGCAGAATCTCCTTCACCAGGCATTCATGCCGTAGACAAAGCTTAGTGGCCGCTTTGCCCTCTCTACTGATCTTGTCACTGGCAAGTCGCCCCCAGTGATAGGCATGATAATGGTCATAGGCCTAAGAAATTATTTAGGGATGCCTAAAGTTGAACTTCCAGACAAACTGTTTAATATACAGATGAAATGCATAAGGTGGCTATTTTACCTGCCAACGGATTTGCATTTCTGTCCAACCAGTCCTGAGATGTACTCTGCTCTGTCTCTCTACCTCTCTCTCGACACCTGTTAGTCAGGCTGTTCAGTCTCATTCAGGTCCTATATGACTAGATGTACTTTAAATGGGTCATTACATAGGCTGCAACACCCCATAGTTTTTGATAAATTAAATCTTTATGGTAAGCCAAAACTTTTCTTTCTTTTTCTCCCCCGAGCTGAACCTCCACCAGCATGTTTATTGCTTTCTGTGTCCCTGTTTTAGATTTCCCCTTACTTCCTGTTTGGTAAAACTGTTATCACTGTGACTGTAAGTGAGGGGAAATCGCTCTAATGGAGCCCCAGTTAGCAGTAAAGACTCGACAGGTGTTTCAATCCTTCCCCACTCTATGGAAAACTAACATACCAAAGTTATGGCTGGACATACTGTACATGTTTAAGCCCAATGCCACTAAATGTTTCTCTATTTGTACTTTTAGAATAAGGAAGATTTTAAACTTTTGGATGGTTTTTATTACTTCCTGTGACTACATTGGGGACATTTCCCCTCACCTTGTCTCTGGGTGCCACCTGGACAACAAAATAGACATAGGAAGTTATATGCAACAAAGCAAAACCTTATAGAAGTTCAAACCTTTTTCTGCTGTACTAGAAAAAATGTTCATTACTTCCTTTGTCCCTAATGTAGAGTTTTCCCATCAAGTCCTGTCCCTCTGACACCCTGTTACAGGGACAGGAAATGAGGGTATATCACCTCATTGGAGCTATGAACAGCAATAAAAACAGTCTAACCCTTTTCCCTTTTTCTAAAATATAAAAAGAGACGTTTTGAGTAGAGTTGGCCTTTAAAGGAGATTTCACAATCCGATTATAAGGTGTGTGGTCAGCTTTAGATGACCATTACAAATATCAATATACACATTGGTCTTTGGCCCGTAGGTGATCAATGTTCCTAGTGGCCTCTTGGCTGATGGGACATACATTATCAGTCTCCACTAATGTGGGGAAGGAGATTTCCTATTCTCTGGTGGTGAAAAGTACTCCATTATAATAATAATAATAATAATTTCAGGTGCACAAAAACAACTTTAGAAATGTATTAATAGATTCCCTTTATCCTAGATATTTATGCACCAGTCCAGTGTGTTGTGGAATGATCGGTATTTGCACAGCGTGCTCAATTGTGACAGGCTGTATACGTTTAGTTACGTTTGCAGAATTTATACCCTGAAGCCTAATGAGTTGTGTCCCTTCAGACGAGTATTGTCTGTTATCTTTACGTAACAAGAAAACAAGCAAAATCACTAGATTCCCCTACCCACGCTTTACAGCTGCACTGTTGGCTTTTGGACTCAAGCAGTCATGGCTGCCGAATAGCCAAACAGTCACTGAATCTGATGAGGTGCAATCACTATTCGGCCAGCAATTTTCCTTTGATTTTCAAACTGACTTTTATTGAGCTTGGGTAATGCTAAGAGGGCCACCCACAGCTCGAGTTTCAGCCGATTCAGCAGAATTTGTTACCTTAAGATGCTGGATAGACTTGCGTTAACAGAGAACAGGACAGAACAACCACTGTGCAGGACAACTAAGCAAGCATGGTCAGCATGTGAACTGAGCAGATCTAGCTGCATACCCACATACTGTATATGAATCATCACAATGTATGACCTAAGCATTTAATAGCCGTTAATAAGTGGACTCATTATTTCACCTAGAAGCAAGCAATGTCAGCATTATTCATAAAAATAGGGATGCGTGTAAGTAAAATGCATACTTTAGTACACAAAATAAAATATAGGCATGTTTTAAAAAATCTGCGTGACCTAAAGTTGAGGGATCGGAGAAAAGGAAACAAACTTTTGCCAAGCACATGTTGCATTTACCCTTAGATCGGCACCAACGTTGCAGTGTGATCAGGCAGAAATCATTTCTGGACATCTATACATGTTAACTGCCCAAGATATCTGTTTGAGTATGTCCACCATAAGGCAAGAACACCAGTTCTGTCACCCATGAAGTGGTGAAGAGGGCAAAGAACCATGTACTTTTAGGGGTCATTGAAGACAAGTTGTGCACCAGGTATCTAGATTTTATGGTCTTATTTTCCAAGTCAGTCCAGCTACAACTATTGTAGGTCCAGAGGTAAATGCTGGCGCGCGGAATTGTTCACTGAACTCTACAAGATTTCCCCAAAAGTCCTCCTGGTTTGACCTTCCAAAACTAGTGAGGAGCACTTGTAGTACAATGTTTAAAGGTTTGCTATGAATTACATGCACAGATGTTGTGTTCTGCCTGTAACAAAATTATAACAATTTGTTTTTCTGTCCTATTAGCGGAGAATAAATCACCACCTCGCCCCTGTGGATTAAATCATTCGGACTCTCTAAATAGAGGTGACCGAATTGATGCAGTCACACCAACGCTGGGGAGCAGTAACAACCAGCTAAATGCGTCATTCTTACAAGTGTACATCCCAGATTACTCTGTGAGAGCCGTAACAGACCTGCAGTTTGTCAAGGTATTTTTTTTTCTTATTTTCTTCACAGTTTGTATATCTCTGTGTAAGATGGTAGTACTACATAATCAGAGTGAGGACATACAAGGCTATAACAATTATTACTGAAAAGTGCACAAATAAAAGGAACAAAAAGTATAGTAGCTCTGCCAGGTAGTACTTATGTTGGAGAAAAAAAAGTCTGGAAAACCCCTTTTTTAAGTTAGTAAATGAGTTCCCGGGAGTAAAGAAACTACACGAGATTTCCAAGTATGAGGATTATGTTACTCATTCGGTGTAACAGTGCTGGTCATTGGTGATTGGCTCAATGCTGTCACACGAGTCCTCTTACCCCAGATTGGGGCCACTTGAAGCTTACACAAGGCTGATGTCTTTTCCTCCATGTGGCAAAATAGAGTGGTGAGGTTGCAAAGGAAAGAGGCATAGGCAACGCACAGTTTAAACTTAAAGCAAGCCTGCCATTGTGTAAATCACTTTCTATTGCCAAGCAGTACCCTTTGTTTTCCTGCATGATGCCACAACGTGTCACTACAACAAGCCTTGTGAGAAATCCAAGCCTCCAGGTGTGAGGTGCTCCAGTTTACCACCCAACTGGCTAGGAAAATTTTCCATTCATAGGGGGGTGCTGGAGGCAGTGGTTACTTCAGGAGTAAATCAGGTAGGATTAAAGAATGTTGAAAGTTTGCCTTTTAGAGAACCCCAAGATTTTTGACATCCAGACAGTTCATAGAGGCATGGGGTAAGCGGAGAAGTATAGGAAGTGCCGGGTTACAGATTTGTCTCAGTACCAGCGTTCTCTAAGATTCTGTAGATTCACAATACAACTTTGCATACATAGAAATAAGTGGGTAACTGCTCACTTACACTGCTTTCCTATATTAAAGCTGGTGGAAATGTAAAACTGGATGTGGTGACAACTTGTCAGATTGTAGCTCCCATTCTGCTACAGCACTGTACTGGTACACACTTCTTGATGCCGAAGTGGTTTGCCACCTTCCTCCCAACCTTTTTTTTTTTTTAAACTTCCTATTTTACTGCTGTAGTGCGAGTAGTTTTAGCACATGCATGAGTGTTTACACCTCCTACAGAGCATAGTCTTTTGTTTTAGATGGAGACTTGTGTTGAAAATAATATAAAAGTACAAATCAATGACTGGCACCATGGCTCTTCGTACATAACCGCACATGTAATTAGAGACAGATGAGTGGTCATGGCCACAAACTGTCTGTGTCCAGGACCCCTCATCTCTCCTTAATTGCCTGCAACCACTTGGATGTGCGGTTACGTGTAAGAGCCACCACGCCAATCATCGCAATCATCTGTGCACACATCATCGCAAAAACCCTGATTCTTGGCGGTGGACGGCCTTAATCGGCTATGTGTATGAGCCCTAAGGGTGAATGCATTATTGTTTACCTATTGCTCTTCTTAGTGATGTCTTTTTTTTTTTTCTTTCTTGTTTTTGGTTATCTCCACAATAGATCACAAGGCAGCAGTACCAAAATGCCCTCATGGCTTCTCGAATGGACAAAACTCCACAATCCTCAGACAGTGAAAACACTAAAATTGAAATGACTCTAACTGAGCTACATGACGGTTTAGCCGACGAAACGGCCATTCTGCTCAATGAACAGAACTGTGTTTCACACAAGTCCAATCACAGTATGCACAATGAAGGGCCGATCTGAGCCAACGTCACACAGCTTGCTAAAATTCAGGACTATCTTCACTCCATTCTCCAGCTTCACTCCTGGATTGTCTGTGCGACTGAAAAGGTGTCTGGTGTGTGCACCTGCCACGTACCATCCAGCATTCTGAGACCAAAGATTCTGAGCCCAGCGGTGACAGGACCCGAAGAGTTTAACACTAGAGCGTGACCGATGTTTAGAAGAGAAAAAAAAACCGTAATAAGTAAGAGATCAAGATTTCATGTATGAGACCAAAAAAAAGGCAAACCTGTTAAGATGACGTTTTGGAACACAACCGTTTTCTTCATGCCCCTATTCATTAGGATACATCAAGACAGCTCTCAGATTAAATTTATTGTGCATTTTTTTGTTAAATGTTTTTTTTTTAGTATTTAATATTTGAGATTGCACACTCAAGCTGCAGTTGACTTGGTTATGTTTTATGGAAGCCCAAAATGGTTTTCAGAGATCTCATTGCCAGTGACCTTTTCCCACAGAGGTATGACTGTTTATATATTTTGGATTTTTGGTAATAAGTGACCCTTACTCATGTTGTTACATCACAGTCCTTCCCAAATAAGTGTCTGCAGCCAAATATTTATTTCCTAGAAATGATTGTTAGGGGAGAACATTTGACACTTGGTTCAGATTCCCAGATTATATATATTTTTGTCAATCTTTAACATTTTGTCTTTAGCTTTAAAATGTACTTAATTGATCAGTCACTTAAAAATGACCATGGAACACGAGGTGTCAAATTGTATTAACATTTATGGGGATGGGTGAGATGAGAGAATATTCTTTTCCTCCATGTTTAAAGGTCCACTCTGAACACTGAAACATTTTCAAACTTAGACACTCTTGTAGAGGGGAGTTGCAGGATACTGTCAAGCAGATGGCAGGATTAGGACATGAGTGTCACTTACCTTCAGCCCTTTAATGAAAAGTATCTCCATACCAATTCAGAGTTAGCCATCTAAAAGAAATAAAACACGTTCTTATACTTGGTGTTTTGGTGTAATGTTTAAAGAATGAATCAGAAGTCAAGTCCTGTTACTCTGGTACAGCAGTTATTCAGGAGTCCTAGAAAAGTGACATGAATACGGAGCCTCGACATAAAGTTAAGCATATGTTCTGTATATTACCCAAATATACACAAATGACTATATACATATCTTAGTGAAGATTATGGTGCATTCACATCTGTGAAAAGTCCTCTTAAAGCGGAAATAAAGCCACCAATTCCCAAGAAAGCTGACGTTAGGAATGTTCAATAAATGCTATTAAATCCTTAATCAAACATACTAATATTGTTTTCTGCAGTGCTTTCATTTACATTCTACCCATTGGCCCATGTGCAGTGTATGGCACATCAAGGCATGAGTCTGGTGAGAAGTGTCCCAGTTGCCAGTGTGCTTATGTAACCAAACTTGACCAGCTCTCAAATGGCTGGTGTCATAGCCGATCACATGTGCAGCACCATACCAACCTCAGATCTAAGTAGAGGCTGAGATTGTGCCATCGTCAGTTGCAAAAGGAGAGGAGGGTTTAGTTTCGCTTTAAAACTCATTTTCTGTATATGGCATATAATAGAGGTTCCCTCCAGCTAGTTTGTCACTTCTTCTTCCTATATGACTGAAGTCTTTACAAAGCAAATTGTAGCTCAATATTAAAGATTTAAAGGGTCAATTCACAATTGTTTATGATTTAAAAACTTCAATACATATACTGTGTGTTGTAGTGCTCTGCACTGTTCAGTAAGTATCATGCATGTTTTTTTTCCTATCTGTTGTGTTGCGTTGGCAGCACATTCATATTGATTAGGTTGCCCTAATGCAATGCACCTTAACGCCTACTTTAATGCATGTTCATTAAAGCACCGCAATGGAATGCTTATGTATGAATAAGCCCTTGAGCCTTCGATAGTGTTGCAGTGGAGCTCCAATGAGGTCCCTTAAAGTGGATCTAAAGCCAAAACATTTCTTAAGTTTGGATAGAGTGCTATCGATGTTCTTGAGATTCACTCTTTGTCCTAGTAGCCATTGTCACTGGGATTGAAAGTCATCAGGAATAGAGGGGAAATATATCATTGGGGTCCCTTGTTCTGGTGACAACTGTCTAATGATGGACACCCCACACTTTGGAGAGACTAATTTCAATTCCTGTTGTGTCTATAGGACAGGAAGGAAAATCTTGCCAATAGGACATAGATGGCAAAAAAAAGTCTTTCAACCTTTCTGTACTCTATCCAAAATGGAAAAACAAAATTGGTGCTTTAGATATATTTTATTACGGAAGTCCCAAACAAGAACTTCCTTGGCTTTTCAATAAAAGGATACTGGAGAGTTAATTGAAAGATGATGACTTTGATCACCTTAAAAACGGAAAGCTGCATTTTATTTTTTGTCTAAACACATGATCACGACTATTTAGGTGTGCTAAATTAATGTGTATGGCCATTTTGTGGGCTGGAAGATGATTAACTGAAAGCCAGGCTGTGATTTCCCCAGGAGGTGGTGACATTAAAGGCTGCTTTCTCACCAGCCAACCCCATATTGCTGTGCTTAAGTGACGTGTCCCCTCCTAACATGCTTTACTATCCTCAGAAAGTAGCTTAGTGCCTTATAATCTGTCATGTGAGGCTAAAAATTAGTCCAACATGGACAATTCTCCATGTTGTCTTTGTCAACGCAGTGTTACCCTAAACTGTATGACTTTCATTCATTGCACTATTCATCTGGCTGTACCACTGAGAATAAAGTCGAATAAACCTGCCAGAGAAATGCAGGATCTACCATTGCTGACCTCCTCCTCAAAAAAACTAGTTGGCTGTCTGTAATGCTTGGCTCCAATACTTTGAGTCTTTGGAAGAGTCAGAAGGCCTTATCTGCATGCTCTGGATCAGACATCTGTCATCAGGAGAGGTCAGCAAAGTCAACCTTCATGTGTCTCATGGCAGGTTTCCTTTCAGGCTGATCTGAAAAGCTATCCATGTATTGGACCCCGGTCCAGGTTGTAGTTCCCCGCCTTTTAATTTTATTTTTTTATCATAAATAATTCAAACTTTATTTTAGTATAATGTCACAATAATTTTTTTTCTTGAACAGAAAATCAGTGCATTGTTTTAGAATGAATATTTTATTAGGCCCCAATCGCTTTATTATTTTGATACTTATAAATTCTTGCCTTGTTAAATGCTAAACCGTTACTGTATAAACAAAGAGAGACCTCTGTTTTTAGCAATGTGTATTCTACTCTTAGATGCTATTAAAATGTTTTATTTTGGAGAAATGATGCTGCTATCTTGTAGTTGAACCTGATGTTTGTGCCTAGATTGCGATTTTTCAATTCCAATGTTTTATTGTAGAATAGTTTTGTCTTTTCCTGTGATTTAACTATGAAACCATGCTCTCCCTGAGAGGCTCAACGTCACGTGACCAGTTATCATCTGCTGATTGGGTAATGGTTCTTATTATTCTTGTAACCCATAAACCTGCTGATCACGTAGTTGTCTGCCTCACAGCTGAGATCCAATATGTCCGCTGTAACAGATTCCCCAACTTCCATTCCTTCCAATCAAGCTTTCCTTCAATTCTGCATTTTTTGTTGCCCCACTTTATTCCCTCTATTCCCGTAATTCATATTCTTCTATATTGTACAACAAATAAGAGTTTCTAGTGTGTATTTTTGATATAAAATCATTAGTTCTAATCATATTTCTTGGAAATTGACCAGCTCAAACCTTTGTATTTCCATTTTTTTGTGTAGAATGAGGAAGGGTTGGTTAGAATATTTGCCAAATATTTTTTGCTGATTATCCACAATGAGTTTTTCCCTTACTTCCTGTCCTGGCGATTGAGCTTCTGATAGTTCCCCATCCTACTAAGATTTAAAAATAAAAAGGAGTATTTTTTTTTTTTTTAAAGAAAATAGAGAGAGACCAGAAACTTGATAACAAAACAATCCAACTAACTAATCCAATGTATTACTTTGTGTATGTAACCACTATTGGCCCTATTCAAGAGTTCTTATTAATAAGCTCTACTTGAGTGCAATAAACCCGTAACATCCAATGCCAAATCTCTTACTGGTCTGACTTAGACAAAGTGAAATGGGGTTGGTTGCTATTGGTTACTGTACTTCAGTATAAGAACTGTTTGCTGTCCTTCCATATAATCTCAATGAGCAACTTTTAGCCAAACCTCTCCCATATATGAATCCGTCATTTCCAGAATTTAAGGTGTGGCACGTAAAACTGTGCACCACTTGATTTTTTTTTTTAAGCCAAAAAACTATTCTTGTTATGGATTTTAAGGTTTTTCTCCCCAACCAAAATGTGCTGTGACATTTTAAAGAGAACCAGTCAGGATAGAACTATAGTAACTGCCATTGGTACCTTCTTTTTCAGGGTCCAAGCTCAGGGGCCATTCTTCTTATCTTTCTTCCTTTGGGAGCCATTGACCTGGAGCCAGTATGTACATATCAGGTGCCCCATCATTTAATTTCTGTATGCTTGTTCCTGGGAAATTACCCACTAAATAATAAAATACCAAGGATGACCCCTCCTGGAGCTTTTTACCTTCAAAAACAAACCCACAATGGTAGCGTTTGATTTTTGAAACACAACACAGGCTACACTCACCAAGAAGGTGACCCCAGAACCCAAGGCCCCACCAGAGAGTTAATAAGCAAAAAGCGTCACCAGGTTAAGCTGGATACAAGAAAAACCTGAAGCGCACTAGAGTGCAGATGAGACATTTAATAATAAAATCAGAAGAGGATGCGTTGCACTCACAAGTGATGTATAGGTCAACAGAGGACTGTTCTTTTAATGAATGATTGTACGCAGTCTGCAATCCCTCACTGGTAGCCAGCATGTGAGGATGTATAGCCCAGACTGTTGCCCAGGGAACTATGTTCCCCAGCCTAAACCTCAATAGGAACAAATAGATTTAGTTTTACACAGGGACAGCCATTGTCTGGGTCAGCTATGTTATCCAAGATGCCGCCACTGATATGTTTCAAGACTCTGTCTCTTCCTGTACAGATATCATAAACATGTGAATGGCTGGATGTAAATTATTACTAACTGTTGTATCTTAGGACATGGATACACTAGTGTCAGGGGTGCTATGGCCTCCCAACTAGCAGATTCTTTATAGGTCACCACAGAGGTCATTGATCTCTCTGGTCACCAGACACAATGGTAGGCATTTATACCTTCCCAAACCTCCGTGTACCTTCTGTAGGTAC